CTGCAAACCCGCTGGCTGCAAAATCGCCGGCGTGCGTTGTTCGGCTCGACGTTGGATCTTTTTTTTGTTTGTTTTTGTCCTTCCCCAGGTGTGAAGCGGAGCAGAACATCTCCTAATACCTGCCGTCGCAGTTTTCAGCTGGGAAAGGGATCCAGTTATTATTCTGGAGGGTAGCAAGAGCGGGTTGCACTGCCGCTGCCCGTGCTTTTAGCTATTCAAGGCGAGGAGGTCTCAGCCTTTCCAGGACCCCCCTGCGAGTGCCTCCAAAAGCGCTGCCTTTCATGGGTGTTTGCACAGTACTTAAAACGTACATTAATAGAGAGAAAGGACTTCAAATGGAAACCTAAGTAGCTGTGCAGCTCTGCATACATGTGGTAGCTGAGTCACCATTTCCTGCACACACGAGCTCCTCTGGGCATGGACCAAGTTCTTTCGAACAGGATCTTACTCTCGGGTAGGGCTCATGGCTGCAGACAGAGTACAAATAATTCAGCATTGACATAAGAGAAAGTAGAAGTCAGCCACTTCATCCAAGATGTGCTGTTACCCTAGGAACCTGCAGTTCAGGTATTTGGCTGCTTCATCTAAACACATAGGAGACAGAGGCTGTGCTATATAATCCTTCCAAGTGTATTTGGATTTAAGAAAAAATAACACTGACCCCGTCTGACCTTGAAAACCAGTAGTGCTCATATACCTGTTGTGTTCCCCCCATCCGGTTACCCAGCAGGACTGTCCTGGGTGAAGTGAGCAGCCTCTCTGGGACAGGCAGGCATAGTGGACAAAGCGGTTTGCTGTTATGTCTTCCATAGGCTTGACCAAGGCAGTATCATAATCCAGATGGTTGGAGTCGTTTTCGTGGAACCACTCATGCTGGTGGATTTCCTTCACGCAGTACACTCTCTGTGCAGATTCATTGTGGCTAAGGTTATGCTTTCCTAGGAGGATTTGTCAGTTGGATACACCTTCCATCTTAACCCTAAAATAATTTCAGAGTAAGGAACCAGATGCATATTTTTAATGGAGTCTTTTCTCCCACCACTGATGGCAGTACATGCTGCTCCTCCCTGTGCCATACCCTTAGCCACTCTAGATGTGCCTTTTTACCCAAACCTACATAGCGGATCAAAAAATGAAATTTAACGTGGCATTAGCCTAAGCAAGGGACAAATTGGTAGTCTGCTAAAATAGGGGCAAAAGGTAGGGTAGAGATGTGATTTCATGGAAAAACAAACAAGATGATCACTTCGTGTTCAAAGAGGAGCAAAGGTGGAGGCTTATGTGCTGTGTAGCTCCTCAGTATTGACAGTAAGCCTCCAACCAAAGTATGAAGAGAAGCATTTTCGATGCATAAAAGGGATCTACATGCACATCAAAGAGAGTTAATGAGAATTAACACATGAGACTTCCCTTGGGAAGCATATGACACTGCACAATGTGCTCCTGTACCCAAAATTCAGTACTACTTGCCAAACAGGAATCATGCACATAGTCCTGCACCATGAAGCCCATCCTTCCTGACAAGCCACCACTGGGCTTTGCCTTGGTTTGGTAAAAGCACTTAAAGACCCTCTTTGTATGCTCAAAGACTTCTTCCTGCTGGGCTGCAATGTGAGAATAAAGGGCAGAGTGGAATTCATCCCTCCACAGCCCCTTGAAACAGGAGATTCGATATAGAAGTGGAAGCTTTTCCTGCAGTTCTTATGTATCAGCCTGCCAAACTGTACTACTCTGCACCGCCCAAAACACAAAGAACTTGAGGAATGTTCTCTGCTGCAATGATTTTATAGCAAATTTTATGAGGTTTATGCACGTGTTCTTAAAGAATGTTTCTGGTTCCTGTTTAGACTGTTCCTCTCTCAATAACTGCAATAATTTAGTTGAAGAGAATCAGTTGTATTAACTTCTATGTTTGATGCCCCATAATGTAATTTCCCAGTTCTGCAACTCTACCATGCAGTTAATTGGCACATTGCGGCTGTTTAAAAGGGAAATGAGGAAGTGCAGCACACTGGCAGCGGCACAGCACGCACGGCACAGCTGGAGGCAAAACCAGATGCCAAGGCAGACTAACAGCGGCTCCTCTCAGAGACAGCAACGCTTCCAAAGTGGAGAATGAAATTATGGAAGAGTCGTCATTGTCAGACGTCAGGGAAACTCTTGCAGCCCCCAGGGGAATCGCCAGTTGCTTCAATTTGGTGGCTGGAAGCAGGGTGTTTTCTCTGTGTCCCTGCCAGCCCGGGTGCGTGGCCCTCCCTCCCGCATATCCCCTCTGACGTCTGTCCTTGGTCCCCTTCCAGGTAGGTCGTGACCTGGCACTCGGTCCCACAGCTGGGTGCCAGATCCATCCCCAGCCTTCTCCCAGAGCTCGTCCTGCCCGTGGCCAGAGGCTGACCTCACATCCACCAACCCACCCAAGGACCGGAGCAGGGCAGCAGTCAGTTGTGCTTCAGTCCAAGGCTTTACTTCCCTGCAGGGGATTTTCAAAGCTCTCTGTGCTGTATTTACTCACATTGAATCTTTGCTTTTTGTGTTGAGCTACCTCAATGCCAGAGATAAACTAAATATTTTTGAACTCCCACACAAACGTTTTCATATATAGACTGTAACCAGATGTTTTAATAACCTTTTCCTGCATGCCACATTTTGTCGCTGCCATGCCGGGGACGGAGAGAAGAACGACACAGAATTCAGGTGAAGGAGAAAATGCCAACGCCAACAGCAGAAGCAGCAGCAGCAGTATCAGCCGTTTATTAATTACAAATCCGTATATATATATAATATGGTTCACAAGGATGCCCAAGGCAATTGGTCGCTTGACCATCCACCTCCCAGAGTGATTGGCTAAATGCTACAACACCCATTTCAAAACAACTTTCCCAGTGTGCCATAAATAAGACTGCATAACAAGCTACAGGTGCAAGATAAAGTCTTAGTTTACAAAAACCTCAAACTGTTTCTCAGCTAGCCTGCATGGGAAAAAGAACTTTCACAGGACGCTGCAGTAGCTGGAAAATTTCTGCTTCTAGCCTTTTTGTATCCATAACATTTGGCCTTTTTCCTTCCTCTAGTTTAAGGATTTCTCATTTCTGCAAGCTTTTTTCAATTACTATCTATTCATCTATCCCACTTCGCATGAAACAGAAGTACAGAATACACTTAACATGCATCTTTTATTTAAAGAGGTTCTCAGAAAGGTTTTCTGTAGCTTCTGCAGGAAGCCTGACTGAAGGCAGAACTTACTTCTGAAAGCAATGGGCTGCAGTAAGAACCCAGCATTTGTGAATAAGAGTCCTGCCACAGACGTGAACAAATCTCTTACTTGTTGTGGTCCAAACCTATCAATGCAAAAAATAACAACAAAAATTTTAATCAAAGAAGCGTCATCCCTGAGCAGAGAGACAGAGAAAAGGAACAGAGTAACTTGTGATAACAGAAATAATTTCTCTTGTGCAGTAGAGGTTACTAGCAATTGTAGAGGGAAATACCTTTAGTAATGTACCACTTCATCATGTATGCAATGAAGGTATTAGGTCTCCATACCCTAGGCACAGACATGTTGGTAAGCACATACCCAACATTCAGGTGTTTGTCAACACAGCATCTTTTGTGTGATAGATGCCTAGGCGAGTAGGTTTTCCTAGGGGTCCCACAAGTTCTCTGAAACAAAACTATGGGTATGGCCATTTTTAATCCATTTTTCCTGCCCAAAACCCTTCAAACCTTCAGCTGGTAGATGCGTCTCAAGCAGCAATCACTTCATATATACATATCTTTTTGCAGAAACAGGAGATTCTTTGATGGTCAGAAATTGAATGTCTTCCCACCTATCAAGCAGAAAGCACACTCAGTTCAGATATGATGGATACGTACTGCAACTCACATGTGCTTTACAAACAAGAGGAACATCCATGCACGTTTTGTGAGTTACAATAGGCTTGACCACATCTTCAGCAACAGCAGGAATGGCCCAATAGCTACGCAAAAACGTGCCAACACAATGTATTATCTGTCAGTAAGTGTGTTACTGACTTCATCAGCAACCTCTTCGAAGACATCGATATTCGTGTCACTGAAAAATTGTAAAGGCTGTGCGTATCTGTAATGAGACTTGCCAAGGCCAGGAGTGTGGCTTTGTTTCAGTGCCTGATATAATTCTCCCCGCAGTGCTTGGCTGAAAATACCCTCTGCCACAGTTTGCTGGCCAGTCTACAATACACAGAGAAATACATTCAGTAAGCAAAGTCACATCCCAGCAGAGGTTCATTGATCCTAGAGTCCATGGCTCCTACAACTTGAGATATGGAGGAAGGAGATAAACATTAAACAGAAATCCTTAGTCATGTTCTGCATACACCACACAGTTGTGGGTTTTTTTTGATAACTGCCTGGTGCACTTAGGACGTTAAAAACGCTGTAGATTTAAGAAATCAGAACGTCAATGGAAAAGTTTCTCATGCAAGTGCAGAGCTCACAGCGAGCTCTGCACTTGCATGAGAAGAGCTGAGTTTGGGGTTTATGGAGGATGGCTCAGACACAGGCTAATGGACAGCAGTTAGTGTTCAATAAACTGGGCATGAAACTAAGTTTGAGGTGGTTTCAAGACGTTATCTCTGAAAAACTATTCCCCGGGACTCATTTTGCATTTTAATTAGAAAGCAAACAAACGAACAAAAAGCACTTGATTCTGCACAATGTATTTCTCCAGATCATTCGTTACCTCCTGCTTGTTACAGCAAGATTGAGGAGATGAGCTTAAACTAGGTGAGATTATTAATCGTCTTTGGCAAAAGACAGTTGGCTTCTGCTATGCTAGAAAGGGGGGAAGGTGATACAGGAAAGAGCTGGTGTCTGGCACAGGGCAGGAACCTCCAAATCTAATATCCCAAACAGAGGGAAGTACTTTATTTTGTATAAAGGCATATAATACCCAGATATTCCATTTTTCTATAAGAGAAATAACAAAAAACTTAAAATAAGATCTTAATGAGGAGAAAATGGGCGGGGAAGGCGCAGACCTGGTGACCCAGGTGGGACACTGGCCTCACCAAAAACACCTGTATTTGAACACGAGGAAAGGGTCTCCAGGGAGGCAAAAGCAGAGGAGATGCACGTCCTCCCTTTCTGCAGCCCCAGGCAAGGTCTCAGTGTCACCAAAGGGCTCTCACTAGGAGGGAGGAACGCACGTAAACAGCTTATGATTTCAAACAATTTTAACTAACCTAAACCCATTTTGAAAAAGCTTCAACCTACTTCAGAAAACTTGTTCTATCACAAACACAGATTCAGTCTGTAGTGAAACAGCTGTATGACTTTGGTCACTAAACATTGTGAACTTTTGTCCCCCCCATATATCTATATATGCACACATATTCCAGTCAAAATTGGAGCAGGAGAGGCCTCTCAGTGCAGGCTTCCAGCACAAGGGCTGTTTTTCCTGACAGCTGTGCTATGTTATGGCTCCAGGGATTGCTCTCATTTGAGCGGAGAAGTGGGTTGTTGAACAACAGGCATCACAGAATCAAAACAGCTCACTTCTGCTTTCTCAGAAACGCTTGTCTCATCTTTTTACCAAGATGCTTTTTAAGAAAGCAGCTACAGCAGCGTGGCACTAAATTAACCCCTGATTCTACTGTTAGAGTGAGGTTGATGCTGAAAAAAGCATAAAATTTAGCAAATGTAGATTGCTATGAAAACAAGGAAGAAATTACAAGAGAACCCATCAAATTAATGTACAGGCTCTTCTACAACTGGATTCTCTGAGACATGGCATTTGTAGGATTTTCCAGACAACATGAACCCAAGACAGCATTTAGCTTAGCTACATGCAGGAATTTCTGCTCAGTCCCAATCTGGAGTGAAGCAGTTAGCACTGCAGCCAGCGCCAGAGGCAGGCTGAGCAAATTACCTACAACCATTGCGAAAAGCAATCAGAGGAGAGGAAAGGACTGGCTTTTTCTGCATGTGTCATTACTGAGGGTGTTGTGTCCGTGGCAGGAGAAGGACCAGAAACACCGGCTCCCGCCGTTAGCTGTCAGGGCTGTACAGTGCAGGTCAGATCACGGCACCCAAGCCTGGATAGGTCTGTGTGCTACGTGCACCGCGAAGAGCTGCCTGTCAGCAGTTTTGTGCTGGAAAGCACAAACAAAAGGGTGTTTCGGCAAGGTTCATCTCTGCTTTACAGTAAAGATTGAAGGAGGTGAGCAGGGACCAGGAAACGCAGGGGAGAGCGAGGGGGCTGGCACTGCCAGGCTGCTCACCAGCTGTCAAGCACCAGGTGGAGCTGGGAGATGGAACCCGGGGCAGCGGGAGCTCACCAAAGCTCCTGACCCAGATTCCTTATGTTACGCTGCCTTTAACATCGTGGGGGACAAAACCTCTCCTTCATTACAGCACTGAGCCACCTGTGACGCCCTTGTTGCTGGAGTTGTCTTTTCTACCCGTAGGTGAGCAGAAGGTGGCTGGAACGGGATGGAGGTCTGTGGTGTCTTTTCCTTGGTTGTGTTCCCCAGCTTTGTTTTCTAAGCTTCCTCCACACGTCGAGTGGTGTAGCCCGTAGTATATTGAAAGGCTGATAATAAGACAGATGACATCTGTTTAGGTCACATATTAGATAGGATTAATGCTTCTAAAGACTTACAAGCTACAGCTTAGCACTCTATCTGAAGACATTGGCCCCTGTACATGTGATGGCTGTCAGCTCAAGACCCAGCACTTCTATAGCTTGAGAAAGATGGAAGCTGGACATCCGAGTGACCATGGCAAAGGATGTGCACCATTCTCTTCACTGATGCAGACCTGCAGTAAAAGCCACAAGTGACCATGTGCTTAGTCTTGTGAAGGAGCTACCAGAGGAAGAAATGACTCTGCAGCACTGGTTTTGCCTCGGGCAGGGGTGTTGCCCCACAGAAAATAGATACACTCATTCCAGCTTGCAGAGGTGAAAAAGGAGCACCCCCATTTTCATATTGGGCAGAATTTTTGGCTGCAAGTTTCTTTTCGAGTGATAAGTGGAACAAAATTTTCACTAACCCACGTCACCTACAAAGCTTACCCATCTCTTCCCTTATATAAACCATGCAGCTCTCCAGAGCTACTCCTGTAGAGACGGGCAAGGGAGCGGGATGCCCTGGACTGTAATATTGGCAGGAAGCACCTCGGCTCTCTCCCTCAGCAGACACACAGTACTTGCAGACACGAGAAGCCCAGGGCTCTACCCACAGGCTCACAGGCATTGGATTCTCCTTGTTTGGAGAGGGTCAGCTGGATCCTGTGACCTGTGTGAATAACAAGGCTTTGGAAAGAAGCTCAATAGGCCCGTTACGTTCTTCATTTTAGATCCATAGTTCTGAACGGAGGAAAAGAAATAAAACTTGGAAACCAAAACTCACTTCACTCTTGGAGTCTTAAAGTGCCCTGAAAGGGAAAGACACAAGTGACCGATGCAAGTTATTTACACGCACAAGTGACTCACCAAGTTATTTAACTGGTACCGTAGGAGTTAATTAGAATTATTTATTTCCAACTCATAAACCCACATGCTGCCTCCTTCTCTCTTGCCAATTGACAGTATTACTTAGCACTAATAGACTGCTTTCATTTTCAAGGGGCTTAAGAAGACAAATTAATCACCTCAACATGTCTGAAAGGAACAGATGGTAATGAAGTATTAACTTTGCAATTTCACAGTTGGAAAAGCTCCTGAGAGAGGGGGCTGGTAGTGTCTGGAGGGCATTTGGCCCCGCTCCTTGTTTGGAACTGGGGTTCCTGGGTCTTATCCCTGCTCCGAGATTCTGCTGTATCCCAACTTCACCACATGTTGCTTTTTCTATGCAAAATTATATGTTTTTTCTTATTCCATTTTCAACAGGGAGTAACATCCTTCCAGAAGGCCTCTTACCTCAGCATGTCTTCAGGCAGGTCATTACCGCTTTGGATTTGAAAGACTAAATGTCTATCCAATAATGCAATTAGTCCAGCTTGCCATTATTTCTTACTGGCTATAAGCAGAGATGTGATCAGGAAGAAATACATTCCCCTGTCCATACAGTGGAGATGCTTTTTTTTTCCCTCAAACATCTTTGGTTACAGTTGGGCACAGAACAGCTGACTGCATTTTCCTCCCCACTCGCTCCTGTCTCAGAGGACCATGGGCATGGAGCAGTTTCGCTCCACTGGGACTTTTGGCTCAGCTGTACAACATAATTTCTTAAGCTACGTCTGGAAGGAAGAGAAGATCACTCTAAAACAGGGGTTCCTACAGCAAAACCCGTGTATGAAGGGTGAGATCCACGGCCATTCTTAGCAGAACCAGCTCAGAATCCAGGCTGCAGCAACTACAAGGTCTCTTCCAGCTGCATGATGCCAAAGGCAAGCGGTCTGCAAACGCTGCAGACTGAACCAGCGGTGAGAGAGAGCCCACAGCATCCCGTCACGGGCAGCCAGCTTCGGAGAGCCCCTCAGCTGCAAACCCCCATCCCTGCTGCTGCCTCCTCATTGCCCTGGGGGCAGCAGGAGTCGATGGGAGGTTTGCTATGGGGACACCCCTGTTACTGAGCCAGGAGTGAAACTGGTTAGGTGGCCCTCCTACCTGATCCCCAGCCATTAAGCAACATTTCACAAACGCAACTCTAGGAGGCCATTTCTCAGAAAAAAATGACATTTTCCAGGAGAAGACCAAACAAATTAATACAATGATTTTAAAACTAACTGATACTACATTGACTAAGTAACTTTTTAGGGTTTTTTTTTTGAAAGAATTGACTTAACCATGGAAGGTTTTTATTTAAAACATTTAGAGAATATCCTCTATTTCGGTAACCCTGCAATCAAAGATTATCTTGAATTACAACAGCGCAATATTAATAAAGTCAGTCAGTAGCAAATATCTGACAGGTTTTGGCCTCTCCTTTAGGTATGGTAAGAGTAAATATCGTGATACATCTTCTTTGTTACTAGAGAAAGATAATAATTCAGAGTGAATTTAATGATTATAACTCTTTTGCAGAGCTATTTCATCAGTACGCTGATATCAGTACCAGTTCCCTTCATCCTGTGCTGAAACACTGACCTAAGAATCTCAGCCCATTGTCAATCCTATAGCCATCAAGTATCATATACAGCTCAGTACTTCTACAGATGTTAGTTAGCATCTAGGGATGATGTAACATATCCAAAATACTGCATTACCAGGTGGCTGTTCCTGTATTTCATGGGAAAGTAGGAGCACTGAGGCAAAGGGGTTATGCTCCCAGTGTGCCAGCGCAGCCCTCACTGCAGATTTGTGTGAGGCAACCCCAATTTAGCTGTAAATGGTACCTGAGCATTCAGGCTGGGGAGCAGAGGCAATGTGATGCAATGAAAACTGGTTTTCAAATGGGCTCAAAAAAATAACACACTCTGATTTCATCCTAGCTTGACAAGCATCTGTGTTGAGCATGGACCTGCTCAGTTATACATCTAGTGTAAGTTCTACTTTATTTATATTTAAAAGTAGAATGTAACAGGTTTGGATTTTGCTAAGTTAGAAAACATTAAGAAACGGAGATAGAATTCTCTCATTTACAAGCGCAACTCTTAACAAAGCACTAATATGGAGAATACTTAATATACAACCTGACTGTATTTAAATTTAAAAAAAAAAAAATTGAACCCAAATGCAAAGTGCATCCAAATTCCCTTTTTCACGAGGTATCCATCATACAAAAGAAACCACTTATTTTATCCATGCAGTTAATATTCAGATGAGTATTTTGTTTGGGTTCCCCTCCCCAAATCTCCATTAATATGCCTTGTATTTTAATCTTTTCCAAAAGCATAGGAAATCCTCAAACACAAACACTATTTTTGTTACCAACAACGACTGCAGTTAGTATCCTAAAGTCTCACAACGCCTGTAATGAGTGAGCCTTTGTTTTTCTTGAGTAGTGAATCATTGGTGTCCTTCCCTTTTGCACTCTTCCCCTGCTCCAGCGTGGGGTCCCTCCCACAGGAGATAGTCCTCCATGAACGTCTCCAATGTGAGTCCTTCCCATAGGCTGCAGGTCTTCACAAACTGCTCCAGTATGGGTCCCTTCCATGGGGTTCAGTCCTTCAGGAACAGACTGCTCCAACGTGGGTCCCACAGGGGGTCACAAGTCCTTTCACCAAACCTGCTCCAGCATAGGCTCCTCTTTCCGTGAGTCCACAGGTCCTGCCAGGAACCTGCTCCAGCATGGGCTTCCCACGGAGTCAAAGCCTCCTTTGGGCATCCACCTGCTCCAGCATGGGTCCTCTATGGGTTGCAGGTTGATCTCTGCTCCCCTGTGGACCTCCATGGGCTGCAGAGGGATAGCCTGCCTCACCATGGTCTTCACAAAGGGCTGCAGGGGAATCTCTGCTCCAGCACCTGGAGCACCTCCTTCCCCTCCTTCACTGACCTTGGTGTCTGCAGGGTTGCTTCTCTCACATATTCTCACTTCTCTCTCTGGCTCCAATTGCTGCTTTGCAGGTTTTTTTTTTTCCCTTAGCTATGTTATCCCAGAGGCGCTACCACCATCACTGATGGGCTCAGCCTTGGCCAGCGGCAGGTCCATCTTGGAGCTGGCTGGTGTTGGCGCTATTGGACATATGGGAAGGGAAGCTTCTAGTAGCTTCTCACAGAAGCCACCCTTGTAGCCTCCCTGCTACGCAAACCCAATACAGAGGGGTGGGAAGGAGAATCAAGATTATTCCACATGTCAAATAGCTTAAAAGTATGGATCCCTACGGTCACGGGAGCAAGGTACAGTTTCTATTTTAAAGCTTTAGTTTGACTGTTCAAACCTTTAATTCTTCTGCACACCCGAGGACAAGCTAACAGGCAACACAAGGTTTTAGGCTGTTATAGTGCTTAAAATTCTCAAAGTGTAATATTTGAAGAAAGAAAGAAATCCATGTT